ATAATTCTGCAAAAATGAACTCAAAATGAAGAAAACCCTCAGGACTAATAAATTTAGCAAAATAACAAGATACAAAGTCAATATACAAACATAAGTTGTATTTTTATACACTAACAATGAACACCATCAAAAAGAAATTACGAAAACAATTCCATCTATAATAGCAATACAAAAAATAAAATACTTAGGAATTAGCCAAGCAGGTGAAAGACTTCCACAATGAACACTAAAAAATATTGCTGAATGAAATGAAAGAAGAGGCAAATGAATGGGAAATTCATATTCATGGATTGGAAGACTTAATATTTTGAAGATGTCAATACTACCTTAAAGTAAGCCAGTCACAATAAGACAAATAATGTATAATCATATTTATATGGGGTATTCAGAGTAGTAAAATCATAGATATAGAAAACAGAATGGTGGTTACCCAGGATTGGGTAATTTTTTTCCCATAAAAGGGGTGGGAAAGGGGCAGTTAGTAAGTGTAGATTTTCAGCTTTACAACCTGAAATGCACTATGGGGATGGGTGTAGCAAAGGTGGCACGTTATGAGTGTGTTTAATACCACTGAACTCTATACCTGAAAATGGTTTGATGGTAAATTTTATGTTATATGCATTTTAAACACAACTGAAAATACAATTCTAAGATTCTATAAAAATAGAGTGAGGAGGAAACAAATCCTCTCAAAAACCACAACTTAAATGAAGAAATGCTGGAGATGGGTTATATGTATATGTATTTAGCATCCATCCTTCCTACCTTTCCCCCATCTTCTTGACTTCTTCAAATCACTACTCACTATAAGCAGACAGGATGTTCCTGAATTTACTTGTTAAAATCTGTTTTCTTCATTCATGTGACATGAAATCCTCCACCCTAGAGTTTTCCCCTAACCCTTTGGTTTTTTTTTGAGCCAGGGTCTTGCTCTATAATCTAGGTTGGCCCCAAAGTGACACCAATTCTCCTGCCTCAGCCTCCCTCCCTGAATATTGGGATTACGGGTATGTGTCACTTTGCCTGGTTACTAGGTTCTTTAGAATACATAAACTATTAATTACAAAGTCAAACTCCCTAAACTTTTTTGCCTAAACTTGAAACCACTCAACTTCTTATCTCTGTATCACTGAAGTACTTTACCCCCAAAATGAACTCAAGTCAGCCAAAGATGATTAGTATAGAATCCATTTAATGAAGTTCCTCAGAAAACGAAATAAAAGCAAGAGTCAGGAAATATGAATTGCCAAAGAAGATGTCTTTCCTTAAAGTTGTTTTATTTATTTATTCATTTATTTTGGGTTTTTTTTTTCCAGTACTGGGAATCGAACTCACGACCTTGCGCTTGCCAGGCAGGTGCTATGCCACTGAGCTAAATCCCCAGCCCCTCCTTAAAGTTGTTTTAAAATATTACTGAAGTAAAATAATTTTATGTAGAAGCAATGCCCATTATCATAGACCAGCCTATAGAATAGCCTCAGTTCTCAAATATGCATTACGATGCAGAAAAAATTAGACAGCTATATATTAGCAAGTAATTAATTACAGTCATAAATCTGAATAACCAATTTTAATGTACTGCAATCAAAGAAAGGAGCAATCTATTGGTAATTCAATGTTGTTATATTGTACAAGCAGAAAAATATTTTTTAATCTACCAAAAGCTTAGTAAACAAACAAAACATTTTCCATTAAACTGATAGTATATAATAAATTCCGATGAATGTTTTAGGTTATTTAGAAGTTATAAAACATTTTGGAGATAAAAGCATTTCTACTGTGCAATTCTATCAAGCATGTGTTTAAAATTTTACAGCCACCTAAAGGTCCAAAACTACAGCAGTTAATTGGTTATAAACTATTAAAATGAAGTATGTTAACCTGATAGGAAGGCCCAATTTAAAAGCCAAATTTACAATTTGAGAATCACCAAATTAAGATGGTGGTAAGTATCTGAAGCATAGGAGATAAACTTCATAATATTTTACTAACAAGTAAGGATTTATATATTCAAACCTGCAAGAAGCATAGGCAATTTTACATGGATCATACCCCAGAGTTATAACAAACCCTGAAGCCTGCTCCTTTTATTTTGAGTAAGTGTGCATGGTTTGCTGACAAAAGCTGAGTTGGTGATATGTGGTCATGCAATGCAGAAAGAAGCTGGTACTTGCCACCTAATAATATTTAAGAGAAATATCCAGGTGCTAGGGATGTACTAGCTCAGTGGCAGAGCATTTGCCTAACAGGCCTGAAGTCCTAGGTTCAAGCTTGAGCAGAGGCGAAAAAAAAGAAATACACTCTCAAAACTGCTTTGTAACTCCTAAAATTCCTTTAACAAGGGAAAGGGCCTTTCAGTTTAGTTTCACAAAGAAAAAGGATAAAATACAAGTACTCAATAAAAGAGTAAAAGAAATATCCAAAATACACTTCTAAGACACACTTCTCTCATCCCTATTTGATCACAAAGGTTGCCACCGACTTGCATTATATCTATTATAGGCAGATCAATTAAGTAGAAATTGTACTAGGCACTCAAGGGAATCAGTACAGAAGATGAGAACACATCAAAACTGCAGATGGAGGCACATCTGAAGAAGCCAAGACCTGAAGATTAAAGTCACAATAGGCACATTTATTTAGTTCCTTAAAGGATAAAAGGAACTTTGAGATTCTACTGTAATTGGTACTACCCTTTTGGGGTTTCCCATAAAAACAGACCATTAGCTCACTAGGGGTGGGTCACCCTCTCCTACCCTCTAAGACTAAGACTAAGACACTAGATTATTGGCAAGGGTAATGATGTCATCCATACGCCCTTGCTACATGCCCAACTTCACTCTTGGATGAATATTAGCTACATGGCTGTACTTGTAATCTTACTGATTATAGTTTGACCCACGTTGTGCAGAGATGACCTCGGTGGCAACCTACTTGGGACCCCTTCTATGTCTCAGGAGCTATTCTTATTTCCCATTCCTATTCCCCGACTCCCAACTGTGTTTGCCTCATTCCTTTGCAAACCCACACTCCTCTTGAATGTGTGCTATCTCTCTCTCTCTCAATAAACTGTTCCCACTCTTAACCTCCATTGTTCCTTGGAATTCATTCTTTGATTTCAGGGACCATGAACTTGACACATCAGGTTGGGAACTATATCTCTCCTATATCGTATCTGTACTTTTCTCCAGCCCTTTCTTAATTTACTTCCTCCTGAAAAGCTCTCTGGGCTCACACTTAGACACAGTTTCAACTATATGAAAGACAGTGGGTAAAAAACACAGTATCCAGCTGTGATAACGCTGTGGTCGTGTATACCCTAAACACACAAACTTGCCCCTCGCACACAAAATTCCTCAGAGAGTGTACCATGAAAAATAGGAAATAAGCCTCTTCAGATAATTCACGGGAAAAAATTTTTTTCTAAGAGAATAATGCTCTTTTTCCAAGAAAATGTGTTTATTTCTTTACAATTTGATATTTTTTTTCTGTCTGATTACATGTGTATGTATCTGCTCAGTTACTCTTAGCTATTAACTCCTAAGTTATCAGCCAGGGATATGGATTTGGCAGCTTCTAAAATGCCCTTTAGTAACCCCTGCCTCCTGAAATTCATGCTCTTGTTCAATCTGCTTCCCTTTCCTCTCCATTTGGGGTTAGACTTAATGACTAGGGGATGTCACTTTTGAGATTACATTATAAAAGACTATACTTTTCCTCTTGGATGTTCTCTTGGGTTGTTAGCCAGGGTGATCATCTACCACACTGTGAGGTAACCTTATAAAGAAACACCTGTGCTGGGGAACCTAGGCCTGCCAACAACCATGGGAAAGTAAGTAGACAACAACCATGGGAAAGTAAGTAGACCCAGAGCTTCTCCACCTCACTGGAGCCTTTAGATGAGCTCACAACCCCCAACTACAGCTTGACTGCGACTTCATGAAAGACCCAGAGAAATTCCTGACCCACAGAAAGTGATGCAATAGATGCTGTTGTTTTAAGCTTGGGTAAATTTAGAGATAATTGCTTACTTGACAGTAGATAACTAATGAGCTACACACTGGACAAATTGTCGGTTAACTGGATAAAAATGAACGTTTCTTAATCAATCTGAAAGATACAAAAATTTATTTGTTCTTCATACGAAAATTTGCTCTATTTTGTTAAACTATTTTCACGGGGCGGGGAGTATCTACCTTAGGCAAATAGCAAACTGCAAACATTTAAGGAAGAGGCACGAAGCTGGAAGAAAAAAAGGGAAGAAATGCTGGAAAGAAAAAGGGCTTGTCATCATTTGCAATCATAATGGTCATGATACACTGATTTGGGGAGACACAGTACTTATAAAACAAGTACACTCAGTTACTAAATTAGTAAATACATATAGAATTTTAAAATAAAAATATCTAATAACTGAGAATTGGAACTTTTATACAATCTTGTCCAATAAATAATATTATTCAGCACCGTGATTCGAGCAGTAACAGCCTAGTCACAGGTAACGAGAGGATAAAGTCTGGGTTTAACAAAATGTATAATCCACATTTGCTGTTGCAACTGACAATCTAACGTGACCCTAACTTCATGTGTTTTGCATTCTTATTCCTGGTAAGTACGTGAAGAACCAAAAACTGTGGTTCAGCATTAATATTCTCACTACCTGAAAAGCAACACTTGGGCCTAAGCAAAGTAACTCTTGCTGTTTCTTGCCTTCATTTCACAATTATGCCGGGTCACTACCGGGGATCCCAAGCCGACCTGTATCCCAATAGCCTAGAAACAAGAACACCTTTTCCCGCCTCCTCACATTGATTTTTCATTTTAATAAGCCACCGCTGCTGTCACTCAAGATGCTTTACACTGTCATTGGTTCTAAAGTCTTGCTGGTCTGCCAGCTTCTGCCAACTGGCAAGCACCGGCGGTCTATTTCCGAGAAGGAAAGTGAGGGTGTATAGGCAACAAACATAAAAGATCTGCAGTATTTAGGCTGCAGCTTGTACCTGAGCGACCTGCGATCTCCACCGCCGCCGCGACGAATCGGCCTCTAGGTGGGGGCTTTTAGCCAAAAAGAAAGTGACTTAGCCGGGAACTGGTGCCCAGGCCATGGAGAAGCCTGTCCAAACTTCACGTGTTCACGCCGGTGAAGACGACGGTGTTGACGTTGCCAGAAACACCACTAGACCCCTGGGAACACACAGCACCTCAAGCTGCTGGAGTCAGCACTGCCGACTGTCCCAGTTGACATTTCCTATTGTTGCCGGAAGTGACGTTGGAGTTCTGCCCCTTAAAGAAGAAGCATTGTAATTCCTGCTATTGCAGATTCGCCATAGATTGCTTGTTTCTCGCTTCGAGATCTGAGCCACTCTGACCATCCAAATTATACTGACTTCTAATCTGCAACTTAATCTCCAACTGGCCGTTGCTCTCGATGGACTCACGGCCCCTCAGGGCCTGGACGAACGGCGAGTGGAATCTGCAGCGCGGAATCCCGGAGCGCGGAGCAGCGCCGCCTTGAAGGTCCGGCCGCGGTGCGTGGCGGGCTGGAACCCGCCGCCGCGAATACAAACGGTCGGCGCGCTTCTAGCGCCGCGGCGCCGTGCCGGGGACTGTCTCCCGGTACTTGGGCTTCCTTCCCCTCTCCTAGCTGGGCTCTGCCTGAGGCCTTGAGGCCGCTTCGTTCTCCGGTGGCTGCTGGGGAACCCGCGCTTGGTGCGAGGTCGCTGCTCTCTGCCGTCCTGAGCGGGAGCCCGCGCGCGGCGAGTTCTCAGGTCTGCGTTTCGTCCTTTTCAATCCCGCGGCGGGAGGGGAGGCCTCCTGGGCTCGCCAGCTCCTGATAGCTGCTTCTCTCTCATCTGGGCTGCACTTAGGGCTGGGAAGCTACTGACTTCCTATTGGACGCTGCGAGCGGAGCGTCCGTCCGCCTCCTCGGAAAACTCACCGTCAGGAGGAGCCGGGAGGAGTTTGTGTTTTCCTTGCCCGCGCTTTCTTGATGTTGCAAATATTCCTCCATCTTTCAGTCTTTCGATCTTAATTCTTGTTGGATCCGGACTTATGGCTGTCCCAGACTGTTCTGCAGAAACACACCCACATATTCTTACCAAGTTCGATGTGAGCGCAGCGGTGCCTTTACGCTCTTTTACTGAAGCGCGTTCCTTTCCTCAAACTTCGCTTACCTTTTGTAACAGTATTTCTCTCACTTATTTTTGCAAAAACAAAATGCACATTTCATTTTTACTGATCTTTGTTCCTCTATTTCGGACACTTTTTTAGGTGATACAGAGGGTTATGAGCTATAAACCCTTACCCCTCCACCACTGGTTGTTACAGTCAGTCTAGCTGCTTCGTGCGGAACAGAAGTCACAGAATCCAGTAACACCCCACTGACAGTCATTATTTTAAATGACTTCGAACTGCCATGAGGTTGAATTGGGTTAAAAATGTCAAACTGCTGTGGTACACGTCTTCCAGAAATGCACTGGGGCAATCTGACTTGTAGACAGAACTGTGGAGAAGGCGAGGTAGCAATATTGCTACCTTAATGATAGAAAGTAGTATCTCCTTTTTTCTTTTAATTTTCTTCGACAAGGACAGTAAAGTAAAAAATGTTCATTCGTTTTATCATAGTAACAAGTTACTTTTCATCTCCGGATTTGCGGTTGAGTATGTGCAAGGGATAGATTGGCTACTTTTAATATCTTAATTTTAGTGTTTTCCACTATTTTAATAATTTTTGTCAGTAAAGCCTTCCTTGGAAATGAAAAGCAGTAGCTATCTTTCTGTAGTGCTCACATTTGCCAATCCCTTTAGTTTTGCTATACTTTTATTACCAATTTCGCCTACAGATCCTAACTATCTTGGTGTCTTACTTTTCTTCAAAATGTTTATTCTGCTGTTACTGAAAAGGATGTGTTCCAGAGAAATACTTTGTGCTCAAAAATTTCATTTCCGGTGGTAGAAATAATGTGTCCCAGGATATCAGAAAAGGAAAGACGGAAAGATAGCAGTGTTAGACAAAACAAAATTGTACTTACTGGGAAGATAGAACGTACACTTTGGAGGACTAAGAGGGGTCTGTGGAAAGAGATACCCTTAAAGTTAATGAATGTCGAATGGGAAGAAGGCACCTGAGAAGGATTGTGCTGAGTTAAATCGGCCGGAACCTAAAACAAGCTCAAACCTGCAGACGTCATCCAGTGTTGATACCCAAGTATAGGGTTGTTTTTTTTTTTTTTTTTTTTTTTTTCAGTTACAGCTAAATTAGTTCCTACTTCATCTTTCCCAGGAACATAAGGGCTAGTAAGAAAATATTTTTCTTTCCCAGTACTGGGATTTGAACCCAGGACCTTCACATTGAACTATATCCCCAGCCATTTTTTATTTTTTCTTATTTTGAGACAAGGTCTCCCTAAGTCACTCGTGCTGGGCTCAATTTGTGATCCTCCTGCTTCAACCTCCCAGAGTGCTGGGATTACAAGTGTATGCCACCACATGTGGCTTAGTGTAGAAAATCTTTTACTGCTTCCATGTGCCCATTTAATCTCAGACATCCTAAAAGATGTTAAATAAGGCTGATGGTCTTGGCCAGTACTTTGTATAATTTGCTTTCAGGATTACTTCGTCTTTTTTCCAGTTAATTTGATGGTACCTGAAAGACCGTCTGCCTAAAAATGTAAATGGTTATTAATTGGCTGAGAAATAGTGACTGAAATGTCCATATTTAAAAGTATACTCAGCAACTCGTTTTTCATCACCATTTATTGGAAAAGACTTTTCCTCTGCTGCTCAGTATCACCTTTGACATACACCTGTTGTCAGTCTGTGTGTTACCAGATTTAGGGGTGTGGGAGTCTCCTAGAGGTGCTTCCTAGGTTCTTTCTGTCCTGAGTGAAGAATTGGTCAAGACATGCACAAATTGTAGCAGAGTTTTGTTAAAGGCAGGAAAAGGGCTCTGCAGTGCAACTCTGGGCCAGGTAAAAGTAGGAAAAGAAGTACACCCTACAATATGAGGGCGGTTACCGTGCAAGAGGATGTAGTGGCAGAGACTCAATTCGGACTGTCCTTTTTGTGTCACCCACTGCTCATGCTGGTCAGGTATAGGTTATCCTATGGAGAACCTGCTCAATTCTCAAGAGAAGTCCACGAGCAGGGCTTTGGTAACCATTCTGTGCATGTGTCCTGGGATTTTGTAATTACCAGCTCACACCTAAGTCCCCAGCCAGCTTGGCCAAGCCCTAATCTCCTGTCTTATGTGCATTGATTGTTTCTGGACTTTGTTCTCTATTACTCTGTACATCTTTTCACTAATTCCAAATTTGCTTTTATAAAAAGTCTTCATACACAGTATGAAATTTAAGTCTTCTAATTTGATTAAGATTTTGATAGTTAATCTTTAGCTTTTACATTTTCATATAAATTTTAGAATCAGCTTGTCAATTTCTAGCCCCCGCCCCCAAAAAACTGCAGCATTTCTTACAAACGGTTTATCAAGGCATAAACCACATCGTAACTTGAGCAGTATGTATAATTTTCCTTCTGAAATTTTCTTTTATTTTATATACTGACTCTATACTCACCAAATCTTTGTTCTCTTAATATGTTTTATGTTGATCTCTGCCTCACATGCTGAAAACTTTCTTTTCATAGTTATGGCCTTTGTGTGTATATTCAGTTTTAAGCATGCGTACCTGAAAAGAGATGCGTAGCAATAGTTAGTGCTTGAACTGTATTTGCTGCAAGCTTATTGGCTCAGACACTGACCTTCTCATTGGAGGTCTCCCTCAGGTGTCAGCCTAGTTTTAAAGTATTTTCCCCCTAGGTTTATTTATGTTGCCTAGAGTAGAACCTGACAATCTGGTGCCAGAGAGGATATAATCTTAGCAGTTTCTTAAAGCTGAGGTATAAGAAGAAACTATATTTTTATTTCCTTGTTCCATGTTATTTACCTTGCCTGATGTTTCCAAATTTGATACCTCTTCAGTTCAGACTGTAAAATTCTTTTATCAAAGAAGTAGAAAGGTAGTTGCTTAACTGAATAAATTGTGGGTGAACCCTAATTTTTTAAAAAACTCATTTATTTTTATTCCAAAACAGGCATCTGGTTGGCACCCATTTGAAGGGAGAGCCATAGGAATAATGACTATTTCTGTACTAAATTTCTTTTTGTCTCTAGTTTTTACTGAGAGTATTATGTAGTTTCTATAAGCGTCCAAAATAACCATTAATCAAGGTTGTTTCAACTTGATGTGTCTTTCCAAGTGATATTTTTCAAATTTAAATATGTGGAAAAAGGTCATGAATTGTAATAACATGAATATAAGGCAAATTTATCTTTCATAAGGCAAAACATTGAGCAGTACAGTGGAAGTTTATTTTATATTCAGGAATTTCTAGTATATAGATTATAAGCAGTGAGTACTTGGCCGGAGGGGAACGAATAAGTTAGGAGAAATATAACTAGAATTAGTGGCCATCGGAGGGATATATAAAATAGAATAGAGAAGCTTGAAAGCATACACAGATTTAACCAGTGATTCATGGATTTTTATTTTTAGGTGAAAAATTAAGTGTTGGAGCTGAGTCTAATGTTAAATAATGGCAACAGGTGACTTAAAAAGAAGCTTACGGAAACTAGAACAAGCACTTCGCTCGTTAAATTATCCTAAAGAGGTGGATTATGTTGGGTAAGCTATACTAGCAAACTTACTTGTCTTCATTTTGCTAAAACTTTGGGATACTATATGACATAGGAAGAGTACCTAAAGAAAAATGAAAGTTTTTGTCTGTGTCTTACCTAAATTTACTTTGAAATGGTTAAAACATTCTGGAGAGCAATCAATTCAGGAACTTCTTTATAGGCATGAATTAATGAAAAATCTCAAGCCAAAACATTTAAGATGTTTATAAACAATATATGTCAATGTAGTGTATTATCTGTGTATAATTTTAAACCTATAAATATGTAATTGATTTTATTACTCATATAGCCTACTACTCTCATATACCTTGGATGGTATTTCTTTTTTTTAAATAAATCTCTAATGAGCAGAGATTGCTACCATTTCTTGTCAGTCTCTGTTTATTCATCTATGGAGCATAGGTTTTATACTTCTAAACCATGTTCAGGCCAGGGATATAGCTCAGCAGCATAAGCACTTGCCTGGCAAGGCTAAGGTCATGAGTTCGATTCCTGGTACCTAAAAAATAAAAATAAACCATATGTTCTTTTTGATAGGGAAAATTCTGGTGATATTTTCTATGGCAACCTGTACCATCCTTGGAGATTAATCTTATATATAGTATAGCAACATGTACTTTTCTATTCAAAAATAGACCAGTATTTTCCTGTTTTCTGTGTATGTTTATGCTTATCTAATATGATATAGTTGATTTTGAGGGTGTTTTGTTTTTATTTTTGAGACATGGTCCTGCCAGATGGCCTAAGTTGTCCTCACAGTCACTATGTACCCCAGGCTGGCCTTGAACTCCTAATCCTCCTGCTTCAGCTTCCCAAATGCTGGATTATAAGCATGTGCCACTGTCCCTGGCTTTATGCCTTTCTTTATCTTTTAATATTTCTGGTAATTTGTAGCACATACTCTTACCCGTTATCAGTGATTGATTTATTAATATCTCCCCACTAGAATATAAGCTGAGTCTGGGACTTCGTTTTGAGCCCTGTTGGGTCTCCACATCTAGAACTGACCTGATAAGAGACTGAGTGAATGGACGAGTATCAAGAGACAAGTCCAGGTTAGGCATCTATTCAAGTATAGAGTAAAACTTGGTAATACCAGCTACTCAGTAGAATCCTCAAGTAATGGGTTTTATGTAAAAGAATGGTTATTATAATTATACACTGGGGAGAGCTAGCCCTAAGAGAAGGCTATGAATGAAAGGATAATGAGGAGAATAGAAAGTCCAGTTACTGTTATTATAGGTATTATATGTGAGAAAGAAGTTGTGAAACAAATGTAATCATAGTATCTGCCAATCATCATTTTGGGGGTGTGTGTGTGTGTGTGTGTTTGTAGTACTGAGGATTAAACCCAGGGACTTTGTACAGAGCCATATCCTCAAGTCTTTTTTATTTTTTGAAACATGGTCTCACTGAGTTGCCAGGTGGGGCTCAAATTTGTGATCGTCTTGCTTCAGCCTCCCAGAGTGCTGGGATTATAGGCCTGCACTACTGGTACCCCACTTATACCAATTGTTTTGGTACTTCAAACCAGGCCAATCCTGACTATCCTGAGTTGTGAGGACCTGATGAGATTGAATAGACAAATTTTCTTGTCGTCACTTATTATGGATCCGCATTTTACAATACATTTTAGATAAGAATGATTCAAAAATAGACCAGTATTTTCCTGTTTTCTGTGTAGTGTTTGAACATTTTCTTATTGACCCAAAGGTGTCATTAAGAATACTTTTTAGATTATTCCATGACATAAGATATTTGTAAGATATTTGTAAGATTATTGCTATCTATCTAATAAGGTATTATTAGATAGATAGCAATAATTGTTTGCAAAACCATGGTGTTCTTGAGAACCATAGGTGGTAAGTACTGTGAGTGGACTGTTGGCACTAGAGAGCAATACTACATTCAGTTTCAGAGCACACTAATGGGTTGGAAAGTAGTACTGCGTGGTGCTCTTGCTAGAGTGATTTGGAGCTGGAGACAGAATCTGGAGGGTCATGTATTGCTCAGTTATTATGGCCACAGCGTGAAGTTGTTGACACCATTTCTAATCCTTCCTTGATTATACAACTTTAAGAGTTATGCTCACTGAAAGTCTTTCTTTTTTCTCTAACAGTTTGATAAAAGGAGACACAGCAGCAGTTTTGCCCATCATCAGCTATTCTCTTACCTCATACTCTCCCTACGTAACAGAACATCTCATGGAATGCAATGTAGAGCTCATAGCAAAGAATGACCTACGCTTTACAGATACTGTCTTTAAGGTATTTTTAACCTGTGAAACGATACTTATCTTAGGTGATGTTAAATGATTTTCTTAAAAAAAATCATTTTAATAATACCACCTTAAATACAGCTACATGTCACTTAAAAATGGGTGTATATTCTGAGGAATGTGTCAGTAAGAGATTTTATTACTATGTAAATATTATAGAGCATATTTATACAAATACAGATAGTATACCTTACTACCACACCTAGGCTATACGGTATGTTAAACTTACTGCTGTTACGCAACAAATTCTTACATGTTGTGGTACTGAATAGTTTAAGTAATTGCAATACCATTAAGTATTTGCGTATCTAAACATAGAAAAAGTACAGTAAAAATACGAGGCAATAGAACCTTTTCAGTTCCGTAGTAATTTTACAGGACCACTACTGTGGTCACTGACCAAAATGTTATCTCGGCGCATCACTGGGTATGCAGCATATGCATCTGTATCACTCACATTCAATCTGTTGAGATCAAGATGCAGTTCAAGTTTGCTTTGAGAATGTTTTCTACTCTAATAATTATAGCAACTGGTAAACATTTGTCAGTGGCTATCATTTGCCCTTTTTCTGTCAAATTGTAGTAAAATTTGGTATACGGGCAGAAGTTAGAAAGAAATATAACTATATTCAGTAAAAGTTGTTCATACAATGATGGGATAATTATTTGTAAGACAGGAGTCAAACTGAGATAATTTGTTCTTTGAGGTTTGAGACCCGGTCTTATATCTACTTCTCTTATGCGAATATTGAATTTTAATCCCATATTTGATTTTCTAAAACCCGTTTTGTTGTTAATTTTTGCTCAAATGCTATAGTTTTCTTAAACATTTTTTATAGTAAACCTGTTTATCAAATCTAATCTTTAACAAGAAGGAGAATTGCATTTCATGAAATAGGAGCTTTTATATATAGCTCTATTAATCTTTTATTTGATCTTTTTTTTTTGCCACTAATCCCAGGAAGAGGTTTAACCTTCCTTTTTTTTTTGCCACTAATCCCAGAAAGATTTCATAGAAGACTAAATGGCGTGCTTGAGAAATTCTAAGGTTTCACCTAGTAGAACTATGAAAACTACTGGTCCTTTTACAAATAAGAGATTGAGTTTGAAAGACCTACTGACTTATTTAAAAGTCACATAGTAATAGAATAATTAAATACAGCTATGGGTTTCTGACATCTAGTTTGGTATTCTAATGAGTTAAGGAATTTTTCTGGTACTTCTGAGGATATTTGAACTTTTTGATGATTGACTGTGTTTTTCTATCTCTCTGGACAGCCATCTCTCTGACACACGCTAGCCATCTGTTTTCTACCTGGATACCTCTCCTACTGGGTCATGACTCATACAAGCTCTATAAATCTCTTTAGTAACCTTTAGTTAATGGCTTGATCCACCTTGCCTTCTCAAAGGTAGCTATTACTCTTCCTGACCAGGTGGCTATTTATCATTTTAGATTAAAGAAAAAAATGCCTCCTAATTATTATGTCAGTCTTTTTCCTCTTTACAGCTTCTTCGTGATCAATTTGATTATAAACCAATTTTGACGAAAAAGCAATTTATGCAACATGGGTTTGCAGAATGGAAAATTGAGATTATTTGTGATATTTTGAGTTGTGTGATGAAAAAGCACAAGGAATTGTCTCGTGTTGATAAGGTAATTTTATGAATAGATTTTACTGCTAACTTATGCTGGACGGCCCAGTATTTTGATATAGGAAAGAAGTACACTAAGTAGCAAATTATTAGTGTAATTACTGCATTTCTCAAAGTTTTGGGTGATCTCATGAAGCGTCATGTTTGCTTTAAATGCTCATCAGTTTTTACACATCTGTGACTTGAAAGTGCTAGTAATACGTTAAAAAATAGTGCATTTTCATCACTTACTTTTAAAAAGACATATAGTTTTATTCTAGTCTCATTACTTGTGAGTTATATTTCCAAAGTGAATATTTAAGTGATAGTGGAATTAACTTTTATTATGCTTTCACACAAAATTTGTTATGTCTAACACATTGTAACTGATTTTTAGAAACCTTCACAACCAAAAAAGAAAATTTCTGCTCACTCAGAACCTTCATCAAGCAATGAGAGAACACCTGCCAAACCTGTTGACATTGATGTCACTGGCAGATTGATGACTTCAGGAAAGGTAGAAAAGAAATACAAAGAAAATGTGCTCTGTAGCTTAAGAGTTATCTTATTAATGAATCTGATATTTAAGATTCACTTCTCTAAGCACTTGGTGAGACAGCTCCTCAGAGAGTATGTTATAGATATTTTTTAACAGCAAATGCCATTTATTCTTTATTCTTTGGAAAACATTTGTGAAATTACACAAAAAACATAGAAATGTAAAATTGAGCATTTTATTTCTAATCTGAATTCTGCCTCATTTTTAGGTAAAATACTAATGCCTTAGATAGTTATATTATACAGTCATCCACATTTGCTCTTAATTATGTATCTGGTCTTCCTAAAACATGAAAATATAGTATATGAAAAACCTATAATGATTTCATTCTACTAAGCAGGAGTGTAAATTAACAATTGATAACCTGCAAATAGATAATGTGGTTTGGAGTGTTTTGAATGTTTTCCTTTTGTTCATAGATGCTTCCTTTGCCTTTGTATTCTTTGTGCATTTGTGGTAAAATTAATCCAATATACTTAGAGATACAGGTTTTCCATCTTCAAGGGAGATTGAATCCAAAATATTATTTTTAAATGATAAATGTACTTTCAGCTATCTTGCATTTGTGGAAAACTTTAAGTAATTAAAGGGTAGAATGCCAGATGAAAATCAGCGTGTAATTAGCGAAAGGATGTAAAGCTGAAGTACAATCCAATGAACTTTTTCTGCCTGAATGCACTCTCAATGACTTAAAAATAAAATCTGTTTAAGATTTCACACTCCTGTGCCTTTTTAAAGTATAATTTTACCCTAAGAATAGGTTCTTACGCCAGTAACTTTTTGAAAATGTGATTGCTTTGCCCAAGTAATGAGGTCAGTAAGAAAAGGAATTGTAGGAGGCATTAAGAGTCTGTGGAATCGCTTGTATTTCTCATCGACTTGCACCTCTAAGTCACCTTTTTATTAGTTTTATATAATCTTATTTTATGAAAACTGTTAAGTGTTTCCTATTGTGTATCCTTCCACAAGTAGAAATGTGTAAATAAGGACTTTTCTTATTTATACCGGTTTTCTTTATCTTCATTGTGCTTAGCACAGTACTAGGTCCACTGTAGGAACTTATTAAATGTAGGTTGCCATAACAAGTGTTCTTCTCAATCTTTTATTTCAGTTGTCTTTTTTTTGGTACTGGGTATCGAACTCAGGACCTTGCGCTTGCCAGGCAGGCGCTTATGTCACGAAGCTCTATCCCCAGTCCCTCAATCTTTTATTTCAATATGGGGACTGAAGGGTAATTAAATTGCTTTGAAAAAGAAAAATGTAACATTTTGAGACATTACACCTGTTTTCAGTTTCTTAAAGTTCTCTTTGTTTCCCATCAAAGTTAAATGATACATCCTATTTTTAATTATCAGGAATTTAAATAAATATTAAAAGTTTTCAGATTTTTAGAAGTTACAGTCCACAAGTAGCTGTCTTTGTTTATAGGCAAAATTGAATCAGTTTTGCTACAGCAAATTGTCTCCTCAATACCTTATACAAAATTGTTTTTAATTTTTTTGTGACACACACTAAGTTCTATAGCACGTATTCAAATTATTTTAGAAAAAAAAAATAGGCAGAAGAGCCCTGTTGTATAAATGCATAGTATGACCTAGTCTTTTTTTTATCAGGACTTCCCTTTTGTCATTATGAAATTTGAATTGTTTGCTGAAGCTCTAACACATTGTGATTTAATAAAAAATTCATAATGAATCTCACACAGCTAGTTCTTGATTGTTTGTAAGTTATGTGAAAACTTATTATGGAACATTTAAAACATTTATGAGTATCATCCAATTTCAACAATTTATAAACTTTACTAATCTTATTTCATCTTCATTATAACCACTTTCCCCAACATTTTTAAAAATTCAGGTAACTTAAATACTACAAAATATAAAAATGCTTTTAAAAGTGCAAACTATAATTTCATCACATGTATTGTAATAATAGTTCCTAATATTTTGATATATATATATGAATTGTGGTAATTTAAACCTTTTTACATCTTTAAAGGGAGGCTTAGTATTCTTTTTTTGCAAAATTACTGTGCGTGTGTTCAGAACAATGTGAGAGGAAAACCCACGAAAGTATTCCTTACATATTTGTCTCTGCAGAAGAAAGCTCTGGTGATTCGCCACCTGTATAATGAAAATGATGTTAACATTCCTGAAGATACAGAAAACTCAGTCACAGATGATAATGAAATATGTGATGTGTCAGACTTAAAGGCTTCTGCAGTAAAGGTTACTGAAGCACAGGTCTCTGAAACCAAGGCTGAGGAGGAAGTAAGAATTTTGTTAAAAAGATTCCAGTGTTTCTTACTTTGATGTCTATGATTAACTTACCATTTAAACTCTGGAATATTTCTAACTGTTGGAATCATTAAGCATGACACATCACCTGTGTTATTACTCAAGAATCGGTAAGCTTTACTGAATATAATTGAACACATGTTATTTGATTCTTCTCTTTAGCCTTTGGCTATGTGTTGTGAGTCATGTAAAGAAAGGTAAGACATGGCTTCAAGGCATTTACAATCTAGTGAGCTAGATACCCACCACTTTGTATAGTGGAGGTTTTCTACCTCTTATTTCCTACACTGGTGAGTGGAAAATTGTGGTACTTCATTGCCCTGTCATTTTCCTTTCTTAGTTCTTGCTATAACAATAGAGATGGAAAAGTTCCATCTCTTAGAATATCACATTTATTATTCTTTATTGCCACAAACCTCATCATGTGTCTAATCTCTACTGTTTCTGCTAAAACATCTTTTTTCTATCATTTTTCTATGTTCTGTGACATCTATCTTAGTATATAATTAACATTTGTAAAACTGACCAGATGATCTTTAGGCTTGTTTCCTGTTTTAAGGTGCACTAAATATTGTCAGTGCACTGTCATTTTAGTCATTTCCTCTTGGCTTCATGCTAGGGATTTTACAAGAAGCTAGTTAGTGTTTAGTGACAGTTTTATTGTACTACTGGTATTGTTTAAGAATATTATGCAGATTAACTCACAAAAACATACTAAGAAGATACTATTATTATCTTGGGTTTTTTTTTGCATGAGGAAATGGGGCCATCAAATTATAAATCTCAGACAAACTAGTTTACATGTCTAAGTAGCCTACCCTCAACAGTAACTGTCTTAATTCTCATCATGTACTGCCTCTTCTAACTAATGAAATGACAGAATGAAAATTGAACTACATTGATTTTAAAGGAGCTTCAGCTTATATATTATTGTCTTTAATATTTTAAATTATTTTAGGGCATAAAAAGTAATCGCGAGATTACTGCACTACAAACTATGCTTGCGGAATGTCAAGAAAAGCTTACTAAGTTGTCTTGCATAGAGAAAAGGCTGGACTGTTTGGAAGAAGCAATGAAAGGAAAAGTGATAGTAGATGAAAAGACCTGGACCAATCTTCTAAGTCGGATCACTCTTCTTGAAACAGAAATGCTTTTGTCTAAAAAGGTATTTCTTTCCTTGATACATATAGAATATCTTAGAGACGGTAAGGTATTCCTTTTGTTATGTGTATATTTTTTTGGAAAAGCTACATATGGCAAGCATTTCCCATTAGGTAATGGGAAAATGTTTAGTTAAAGTCCACTTTAAGTTAACTCGTTTTCTTGTTCTTATTGTAGCTATTTTTTTTTCTTCATCAAATAAGATAGTCTGAGCTTTTAGTTGATAATAGTACTTGAAGTGCTTAAAATGAGGCAAGAATATATATGCTTGGCTTATGTAAACTTTCAAATTATTTTATATCTTGTAATAGCATAAATGGTTTTTCCAATTTACAGAAAAGTTGTAGAAGAGGAAAATTTGAAAATGCAGCTCTTTTTTTTTTTTTACTAACTTCAATCATGATATGAATTTCATAGAAATAGTTACTAAATTTACCATTGCTTTATTGAATCTGAGAAATTTGTTTCAATTACCTATTATCTAGAATTCAGTTTCTGTTTTGTTTGGTATGGTTTGGTTTGGTTTGGTTTGGTTTGGTACCAGGAATCGAGCTCAGGACCTTGCACTTGCCAGGCAGGTGCTTATGCCACTGAGCTCTATCCCTGGCCCTAGAATTCAATTTCTGGTCTGTTTTCTTCTTCCTAGAATAAAGTCAGTAGGCTTAAAAAGTTTACTATCTGCTTGCATCGTTAAAAGATTATTTCTTATATATAGGAATTCTTATGTATTGCTTTATAAATAAAGTTACTTAAATATTTCTTGTAACGTCATTATATTTTTATGATTGACAGTATAAAATGAAAGCACTTTCATTTTGTTTTAAATATTTAACTACTTTGCAGAATGAATATGTAGAGGTTAATGCAGTGAGTGACAACTATACTTCCAGTGGTAACATAGATCTGGTGACTCTTGGTAAGTTCTTAATGATACTAGTATTGGTGCTATACTAGAGGGCTTCCAGGAAAAGGAATTTTGGGGGTATTTGGTAATTTTATTACTGTATTCTCAAGCCTCATTTTTTAAAAGAAATTTTAGATCTTCTAGAACAAAGAAATTAATGAATCTAAAGCCAAATATTGCTTAATAAACTACTTACTTACCTTTTATAGCACAGATAAATAAATTTCAGGGTACAAAGTTGTAAACTTTTAAGAAATATGTTGGTCTTTTAGTTATTGTAGTATAATAAAGTGTTCTAAAACAACAAAAATGGACCTGTAGAATTTCTAATCTTGAAACTTAAGTGGTAGCATTCTTGTATGTGAAGGACATACATAAGAGAGAAGAAAATTTTTGGTGACCTGTGAAATATTACAGATCTCTCACACTCAAGCAGTTCATTGATGGTCTTTTCTGTTACCCACCTTCATGATGCTATTTTCAGTGTGGCAGAGTAATAAGTTTTTCTTCAGTTTTTCAGCAGCAGCTTTTATTCTTTTGATTTGCATATTCTTTTAAAAGACAAAGGTCTAAATTTTTTATGTTTATGATTAAATCATATTTATAGAACAGATATTTTGTACAATTGAGAATTCATGGAGTTAAATTTTAATATATGTAGGTCTCAGCATCATTAAATCTTTGAAGTACATTTAACAGTAACAGTACTACATTATAGCAGTATGTGCTGGCATTGTTGTAATTACTAAATTAACTTATTTAGCTCTCAGAATAACCATACAAGGTAAGTACTATTATTGTGTATATTTCATAGGCAGGGAAGTAAGGTGCAGTGAGTTCAGCTATGCCAAAGGTCACACTGATATTGAGTGGTGGACAGGTTTGAATTTGGGCAGCTGGCTCTGAAATTGTTTTGTAATCCTTACCTACTTAGTGCTCAAGCCCATTTCATTATACACAGAACAATTTAAGTGTTTGTCTATTAAGTTCAATCACCGGAGGTGTTATTTTAGGTATTAAATTTATCTTAGACTAGCAATACCAGATTTGACATTTTTCCATAGATATTCATGCATCTGTTCAACAAAGAGTAAAGCTTAACAAAAGATTCCTGAGAGCAAAATTGTTATAGTCTGTCTAGCAGATAGAAAATAATAACTACTGTCTTTAATATCTACATATAGTAGGGCCCAAGTATTTATGTGTTGAAAGAACATTGAATCGGCTATATGCAAAACATTGCCTTTTCAAACTCAATTTTGCAGTGAGCTTATTATTTTTTAGATAACATTATTACTACAGGATACAGTATACCTTAATTCTGTTTAGAAAGACATAGCTAAATTTAAGCCACTGTACTGAGAGTGATAAGATGGACCACTACCTGGAAAAGACTATAGATTATCAGTAAGGTGAACAGCTAATCTCATAGAGTGTATAATCTAGCCTAGGTAAATTGAAGGGTCAAGTTTGTAAAGCCTCATATGTGACACCTTATACATGCATGCTACTTGGAAGCAGAAGGTTTGATTTCATTTGGATGCAGAGAGCCGTAATTTGCCGCTCTAGCTTTAGAGTCATGTTCAACCGGGAATGATTTTAGTGAGGTTTCAACTTTGTTTTTCCTTTATCAAAACGATGGTGTCCCTCAGTGAGGCACCGCAGCGTCTCGGTAAGAGCGAGGTGGAAGAACATTTTAAGGACTGTACCATTTTAAGGACTGCTGGATGCTTTTGGAGAGGATTTAAAGAAAGCAGGGCTCTTCTGATTCTGGTGCTGTTAGGAAGTTTGAGGACTGATTGTAAGAATGAAGTGGAGCTGAAATTGTCAGTGGAAAACACGCACTCAGGGTCATGGAGAGAGCTGTGTCTGGGCCTGTTCTGTGATTACACGGCTCCTTTCTTTGGTTTCTTCACACTTGCCAGGTTTTGTCTTTTTCTGTTTTATGACCTCATCTATCGTTGTTTTTCTGTGACATTATTTATGTTCATGAGGGAAATAGTAACACGGGTTCACTACCAGATAGGATACCAACGGTCAGAGCTGTGTTTTGTTTACTTTGTTTTATTCCTGTTTCCCTTCAGAAGAAAAGAATATATGATTAACCAAAGTGTGGCTCTAAAAAAGAATGTGATTTGTTCCGTTGTGAGGAGAGGAGAGGTTATACATGGGCACATGAAGGAAGTGCGAGAGTAGAAAGACCAAACCATAGAGTTTTCCCCGAAGTCGTAGAGAGATTTTTATCAGCACTTACATAGTCTCAGTGAGAGTTGCTACTAAGGCACCAGTCATGATGAGAACAAGCAGCTAATTTATTTGGGATATATTTGGATGTCAAAATTGAAAGGCTGTGGTTACTGACAGAAGTAGGAGAGGTGGAGGAAAGGAAAAGTCACGAGTGACGTGTGTGGCCTCTGTGTCCGAGAGGTTGTTACTCTTAAAGAAGGAATTCAGGAGGAGAAAATTTGGGAAAAATAATGAATTCTGCTTTGATTATAATAAATTATGCATGAATTAATAAGACAGAATATAAAAAAATTGGTTGGACATACACATGGGTCCTTGACTTGGCTGTGCTGCCTTACAAATTATTGAACAGTGAAACACTCAGCTTGCTCCCTTATTGGTAAAAGGTGTAATCACCCAAGTTGGGAAAGGACCGAGGGTTATGTGAGAAGCTTTGGCTAGGTCTGGTGCCCAAACCTTAGAGGATCTCTTCACAGAAATCTCTTAGCATTACCACCGAGGCTCTCGGACTGCTTTGATCAGGAGCCCAGGGTCGGGGATGACTGGACTCCCTTGCTTTCTAACTACAGCTTGGTTACCGGTTCTTTTGATGACCCCCATGGCATGGCTAAAACAACATATGATTTTTAAACAAGATGTTACTTGTTGAACTGACCTGGCCATTGCACTTATAGCTGTTGTTCTGTATGTGCCCTACTGTGTAATCCGCTGATGCCCCCGAAGGGGCTGTCTCTCTAAATAATCTGCTGCCGGCCTAGCTTTCTTCTGCCATGAGGCACATCCCTGAATAAGGGTAAAATCTAAGCCCCAAAGCATAGGGCCAAGAGAGCCATTGCTTCACCCTTCATTCTGTCTGCCTGCGCAGCTCTGGCTCCTTCCGCCCTTCCTCTTTCCTGGATTAACATAAATTTCAAAGGACACCTGTCTGTTCTCATGGAAAATAACAAAAGATTCAGGGCACAGTACATCGTAGTTCCTTCTCAGTTTCAAATTATTCGTTTAAATTACCTGTTACCCACACCTCCTACCAAACAATCTGGATCTAGCTAGTCTACAAAATTGTGATCTTGATCCTTACGCTCAGCTAGCTGGATCAAGAGTAGGCCCCCAAACAGAAAATAATCCTTAAAGCCAAACTGCGTTCTTCCTTAAACTTTGGAATGTGGACGCTGAGAGTAAGTTAGTCACATTATGTTGAGCTGGGATTACCTTGGCAATTTCGTGCAGATTCATCCTAATGAGTAAGCAGAAGGAGCCATTCTACAAAGAAAATAGAGGAATAGAACAAATGAGAAGAAGAGCAGGCAAAGCCCACAGGTTCCATGTCTCTACATCTTGAGTTTCAAATGCACAAATCCCACCAACTGTGGGATGAAACTCTCCTTTCTTCTGCTTTAGCTTCCTGGTTAGCTGGAATTGCAGTCGTACACACCAAACCTGGCTGCCTTTTGCAATTTGTTGTGAGCCAATTTTTAACATCTAAATCTCTGTATGGAGACAGGCTACTCTCTTGAAAGAATGCTAAAAATTCATTTCTTGATCTCTAACAGTAGCTATTTTAAATTAAAATGTTGATTCATTTTCTATCTATAATAAAACTTCTGTATATTTGACACTACACTGAACGGAAAAGATAACTTAAAACTCAATTCCATCTTCACAGATGGAAAAATCAAAATGGAGAGGCCAGCAAATATTCCTCTGTCCTCTGGTTATAATACACAGTCGCCAGATTCAACCCCCAGAACCTCGACTATTAATTACTGTGGTTTGAAAGATATCTCAGAGGTAAGAAAAACTGACAGCTGCCTAGATGATTTATTTCAAAGGTTAAGAATGCAAACAAGCATTGATTTTAGTCGTATACTGTTAGCAAGAAAAATGGCAAAACTGTAAATCTTCATCTCGTTTCTGATGAGTAAATAGTACTTAATGAAATGTTTCAGACTGTTTTACATGTTCATGGTCCATTTTTAAGGATGATTTACTTTAAGAAATCGGCTAAATTTGTTGCTTTTTAAATTAAAGGAAACAACAATCCAGAAAATGGAAAGGATGAAAAAAATGTAAGTAACAGAAAGGGGCAACAGAAATTCATTTCTCTGTAGGGAATTGTACTGGATTACAGTATATAGAGAATGTGCATATGTGTTTCCAGCCTTAGCAGTCTCGCAGTCAGGTGTGGAATTTCCTTCAAGACTCCAGTGGATCATAAATCCACATACAGTTATGTGTTTGTGAGATGAGTCATTGTTTTGGTTTCCAACAAATGATGTACAACAGTGTTAATAGAATTAACAGTGGATTAAAGAATGCAAAGATATTTTTGGTTGGTAGTTAATGAAGTGTTACCCTGTTTTGATAACTGATTAAGCAGAACAATAAACATACGGAGATGGGTGGTATGGAGATATTTTTTACAGTTAAAGTATCACTAGTAAGTTATAAGGTAATACTAATCATGATACTTTAATACAGCACAAATGACATTACGTCCGATTTATAAAGACGAGTTCAAAGAAAATATAAAATGAAATTGTGAATATTATGTAAAAATTTTTAAAAAGGATATTATGTAATCAAATAACTTTAACACTACATATAATATTCTTTTAAAATTTGAAAATAATGTTATAATAACTTACGCACCAAAATTGAGTCCAGTTTTTTTCTCCTCTGGCCCTAGTGTAAAGTTTTTCAGTACTGTAGCACCTGTTCCTAACAATAAGAAAAATTCGAATTTATTTTAGATGCAGAAGCATAATTTTAACAGCTTATATCCTATTCACTATTATTTATTTACTTATACAACATTTGTTTATTCTATTGCAGGTTTGAAGAAACTGCAGAGTTATTAAAATGCCCAAGTCACTAAATGTAGAATTTTCTGCATGAACATCTGTAGGACTTTGACTACTGTACATGTTGTATATTTTAAGAACTTTCTGTGTAGTTGTAATATATTATAATATTTTATTAAGAATTTGTATCCATTTGGTATATGAGTTTTTCCATTCATTATTGAATAAATACTTTAGTATTTTTGAGCTATTCTTATACTAATTTACTCTCTCCCTTTTCTTAGGAAAAACTTATGGTCTAGTACATTGCTTTTACAGAATGAAGTCATTACAACAAGCACTGTATTTTTGTGTTGACATTTGTTGGCAGTGTGCTAAGTAATATGTTTTTTAAAGTACAGGCTTGAGGATCATAGTTTACATCCTGTTGGAAGCGTTCCAGCTAGGACTTGCATATTGTACCCCAGAGGCTCAGACGTACCGTCTTGCCATCTGTGCTGATGAGTAAGTTGTAGTGAAGTCAGAAGCACTCATTGACGAATAAAACAAAAGCACGGCTATTTCATGCTCAGTCAAAAAGTAGTAATATTAACACTGAGAAAGTAAGGCTGGAGTTCTTTTGTGGTGAAACAGGTCCGCAGATTCACTGTGAGAAATGGAGTAATTCAGTGCTGTGCTCTGTAGCACGTTTTAGGAGCAGCAGCGCAGACACCCCTGTGGGCAGCCGGGGTTTGCGGATGCACGGAGGTTTCCCGTTCTGTTTTAGTGAGAAGAAATTGTAAAAATTTTCTGAGAGAGAAAGCCTTAGAGGAAAGTAAATAAGGAGACAATTAAATTCATTTTAAATTTTTCTATGTAAACGTCTTTTTCTAACTTTGTAAATAAAAATATAATAATCTTGGGAAATCAAGAAAATTGACTATTCCTGTGAGAATAAAGCACTTTTCTTTCTTATGATCACATGATTATATTTTATTTATTCATCTGTATCTATTATGTGTAATTCAACATTGCAAATATAAAATATTTAAGATACAGGTAAAGACTTGAGAAAGCGTTTTTAGTATTCTGATAAATGTTTAGTCATTACAACTGAACTTTATGTTAACATAGGGCATACAAGCTTGAATTTAATAAACTTTTAATAATTATATAATGAATCCTGTTAGATTTTTCTATCACTCGAGAGGTACATTTATAAAAATCTAAAGAGAGAACTCCCATAGTGTGTTAATGTGGAAAGCATCAGTACCGGCATGGAGTTATAGCACCACCTTGTGGTTGGTGTGCCAATATTTTATCTTTTATCAAAACAGATGGTTTCTCATAAAACAGGATCTTATTTTGACTTCGAAAAATCTCAATTCTAGTTTTACAAAGAAACATTTCTCAGGCTTTCTTGTGGAAGACACAAATTAAGTCTCTCTCTGTAGCCTTTTTTTGTATAATGTGAATATACATACTTAGATTATTTGAAACATTTCTAATCTCCTAATTTACATTCAAGGTACAAAACATAAGTATCTATTGAAAGTATAATAAAACATTTCCTATGTATGTCATCACGTGGAAATTTACCAGGCAGGCACCTTGCCACCGAGCTGTCCCCCCAGCCCGTCACATGGAAATTCGTAATGCATTTTTTTATATTTAACAATTTAGAAAGGAACCAATAAAATCAATTCATAATGATACATTATGTTTACACTTACAAAGCATTTCTCATACTGTTGTAACAATATAATCTTTTGAAAAATAAAGCAAATTGTACTTCTTTGAAGCAATTACTAAATTATGGGTTTTTAGAAATAGTAGATTGGGGCTGGGGATTTAGCTCAGTGGCACAGCGCCTGCCTGGCAAGCGCAAGGTCATGAGTTCGATTCCTGGTACCGGAATGCCCCCCGCCCCAAAAGGTGTAGAAATAGTAGAAAATGTTTTCTCTCAGGTAATTTGGTAAGTGATTTCTAAAAATAAACTGGTTCCTTTTGATTAACTTGAAGCTCTTGAGAAACTGAGCCACGGAGGGCCTGGAGAGATCAGCTGTAGTTCTATAGTTAGCCCGTAGTAAATTGGAATTTTCACTAATTCTGCCCCCTTAATTCTTCTGTAAGCTGGATTCAAATTATGCTACCAGCAAAGAATCACTGGCTGGTACTGCCGTGTCTGCCCCATACCCTGAGTAGGTCTGGATAGGTGACGGAGGGATGCATCAGGTAACGGATCAGAAAGTGTTGAAAAAAACCTACATCCACTAAAAGTAAAGCCAAGAACTATTACACTGGAAAAAGCAGTGCTATCATACTTGCTTTACTGCTTCAATGTGTTTTCGCATAATACATTCCTTACAAAATAAAACTTAAAAGACTTTGGAGCTATGTTTCATGCCATTCATTACAGCTTTATATAATTGACCAGCACTTAGGGAAGCATTAAAAAATAAAAGGGCCTTGTCAGTTTTATGGACAACACTGTTTTGTGCTCAAATAATATTATAGCTTTCATTTTTACATTTAATAATCCCCAGGTTTGTCTTTGTCCTTTCTTTGAAGCCGAAGGACACAGAGGGTGAAGTGGTAGAGGTGGTATGAGACTTTAAACTGCACGATTAAAACTTAATTGTTGTGTCACTTGAGCTTTAATATTTCAAGTGAAAATGACAGCTTTCTTAAGCTACTTAAAGAACAAAAAGCTGAGAAACTACATTACTGACAGCAGTAGAAACACTAAAAATGTAGGTTTGTTTTTATTGAGAAAAAATGGTATATTTTGTGATTTACATTTCTAACATGTAGGAATAGGAGGTATAGAATGTGTGTGTGCGTGTGCGTGTGTATGTGTGTGTGTTTCTGAAGTCCATTAAATCAATAATAAATTAAAAAAAATTATTTTGAGACAGCATCTCACTATGTTGCCCAGATTGGCCTTGAACTTGTGGGTTCAACTGATCCCTGCCCTGCCCTAGATTTTGTTTGCTAGGGCTATAGGCATGCACCACTACACCTGGGTCATTAATAAAATTTATAAAATTTGATGTCCCTTTTTAATTCCTTAAATGCAAAATGATTAACTCAACATTCTAAAATTTAGAACCAAGCTGCTGTGCAATGAGCATAAAATGCATAAAGCATTTAGGACTTTTTGCCGATAATGGACTTCCTAACTGACCCTCCATCTCTGTAATATTCCCACGTGTCATCTTCTCTGATACTAACAGTGTTTCAGCTTTCTTTTGGAAAATGTTTTCACAGTATGTCCCATCTCTTAATAAGTCAGTATCTATGTGTTTAAAATGGATTTCCTGACAGTAGCATATAGTTTGGTTTTGCTCTTTTATCCGCTCCAAAACTCTGGAGTGTTTGGCTCATTTACATTGTTTGATTTTGGATTTAAATCTATTACCTTTTAATTTTTGACCATTTGTTTGTATTTCCCTCGTATTACCTTTTTCTGCATTATTTTGCCTTAGTTCGAGTATTTCCTTTTTTTTTTTTTTTTTTTTTTGGTACCAGGGATTGAACTCAGGACCTTGCACTTACCAGGAGGCACTTATGCCACTGAACTATATCCCTGGCCAGTTTGAGTGTTTTTTAAAGTTTTTTCATTGCTTTCATTGATTTATCAAATACACCTCTGGGCTCACGTGTGTGTGGACACACGCATCTACATATGCTTGCTCTCGGAGTATGTGTCATTAACTTGTTTCACAACTTTAAGAAACTTACAACAATGTACTTTCATTCTCCACTGAGGTTTTTTGGTCAAATATTTACATCTACATGTGTTACAGATGCCCCAAAACATGGCCATTAGTGTTGCAGTCAGTGGTCCATTTCAGGTCTTTAGAAATGTACCTCCTGTTTCTGGTGCTACTTACTCCTTGTACAGAGTCACATATCCTTGCAGTATTCCTTTTACCTGATGGGGTTCCTTTAACTTTTCTTATAATGGTAGTTTGCTGTTGATGAATCCTAAAAAAGCTTCATTTTACCTTCACTTTCAAAGGATATTTTTGCCAGGTATTCAGTCTTAGAAGAATATGCTAGCTCAATCTTTCATCAGTTAAAAATGAACATCTGCTGTCTTTTGGTGTGCATTGTTTTTGATGAGAAATCCGCTGTCTTTATCTGTGTTCCTTTATGGAATCTGTTTTCTATTATTGTATCTGCTTTGCTTCATTCATTCACTCATTTATTGTACTGGTATTGAACCCCAGGCCTTGGCACTGAGATTTTTTTGTTTTGTTTTGTTTTGTTTTTTTGTTTTTTACTTAGAGACAGGATTTTTCTTGCTAAGTCGCGAAATTGCTCAAGACCTGCTGCCTAGACCTCCCACGGTGATGAGATTACCAGCGTGTCTCCCCATGCCTGGCTGCTTTCTTTTAAAATTTCTCTTTTACACTGATACTCAGGAGAGCTACGTAGAAAAAATAAGGTATAGATAAGTGTTTAGAATTAATGGAATTTTGACAGGTCTTTTTTATAGTAGATGAATATATAAAAACCAATTTTATTTCTATATAGGAATCATGGTGGAAGTTAACCTTAAATAAAAAAAAAACAGATAACAAACAGTACCTAGCAGCAAATATAATCATGTTTGAGAACGTCATATAGAACACGATAGATAAAAACATAAATAAAACAAATAGATGGAGTAACATACCATCTTCATATTTGGATGAGTCAATAAAGATGTTTAACTCACATAATTTGTAATTTCAGAGCAATTAATTCCAAGCAGTCTAAACATTTTTCCTTAGAATTTAATATTGTACAGATTAATTGAAAGAGAGCCAGAAGACAATTTTGAGAGAAAAAACAGGTTGGGGGATTTGTTGTATGAGGTTTAAATCACAAAACTATAATTAAAATTGGAGCAGTGTTAGTAGTGCAAGACAGATTACATGAAAAGTAGCTCCCAAACATTATAGAAAATGATGTATGACAGGGGCTGGGGATTTAGCTCAGCGGCAAAGCGCCTGCCTGGCAAGCGCAAGGTCGTGAGTTCGGTTCCTGGTACCGGAGAAAAACAAAAAACAAAACAACAACAACAAAAAAGAAAATGATGTATGACAAATATTGCATTACTGCCCAGTAGGCAGAGGGTGGACTATTCAGTAAATAATTCTAAAAATACCTAGTTACATATATAAGTGGGGAAGAATATATGGTCTTCAGTTATACCATGTATAAATCATTTTCAGATGGATTAAAGACAAAAATGAGAACAATAGAAATGAAAGTAAAGTCTGAACAGCAATAGCAACACCACCTTCAGGCCAAATGCCTTTTGAAAGTATTTTCAGGTGACTATATGGATAATAAAATTGAAGAAGCACTGGCAAAGGAGATTATAACCCTGGGGTGAGAGAAGTTTTTAAAACAAATTGCACAAACTATGTGAAAAGAAATTAATTCAGTATTAAAATTAGATGCATCAATTGCTGGCTGAAAAAGGTAGTTTCCTAGAAGACTGGCTGTGAGGGTAGCCCTGCAAATATGTCAGGATGAAAATTACTCAGAGATCATCACGGTATCCTGCAATTATTGTACACAGATGATGGAAGGCTTAACAAGCTGGTTTAAGCATGAAAGAGAACTTACTGGTTCATTGAAATGATGAGGAAGGGTAACTGTAAAATGGTAGAATCCCAAAATACTACCAAGGAGGAGGAAACAGGAAAAGCAATTAAAACTGTGTCCATGTGTGTGTTCCAACCCTGAAGGGTAAGAGAATCGGGCACTAGGGCCCAGGCCAGCGTGAGCACCGAGGTACAAATGGAGGAGATACAGCTATGGTTCCTTACTGCTCCTCTATCACTGGCTATTCTCAAGGGCACCTGTCCACAAAGTTTAGGGGTGTATGCTGAGCTACAATTGCCTGACTTGTCTTTAAACAGTGTCAAAGTCTAATAGCTCCCAAACTAACAAACACCCTTGGTTTCTCTCAGGTGATGACTTAGATGTTCTTATGGGCAAAACAGCAGCAATGAGGTCTATGAATTAGTGCTAATATTTTAAGTATAAATAACTAGTGAAAAAT